GCATGATGTCCCAGCTTTCAAAACAGCAAGGAAGGATGTACTCTGAGGTGCTAGGAACCTTGGCCCAGTTCCTTGCAAAAGTAGACAGAAGAGGAGTTAGACCAGAAGATTGTGCTGGTAAAAATCCAGCATAGGTATATCCAGTGAATGTATAAAATCTTTGCCATCAACATGTGATAGATCAGATTCATGGGAAAACATGATTTATTGTTTGCTGGAGCAAGCCCATTACTTGTGTGAGGTTTCTACTGCAATATTAGAGTGATTTGGCTTTACTATTTCTATATTCCTTCTTCCTCATCAATCGATGCCCCTAGTGCTCACAGAGGGCTCCAAGCACTCCACCAGACACCATAAGCACTGTAGACTTCATGAACCACCACAGCTTAGTTGGGGTCTTGCCGACCTCCACCCACCCTGGACCCAGACCAGGATCAAGCTCCCAGTGGGCAGACCGCTCCTACTCCAGAGAGCTTAGCAGGAACAGCTCTTAGAAGAACTAGTGATTATACTCAGGGGAGTATAGTGATTATAGTAATCCCCAGAGTGTAGTCCTCCAATCCCTCAAACATGAGCCAAGATTTCAGGAAGGGGTAAAGCATCTCGTTTAATGGGAGCCACAGCTGGCCTTTTATGCAAGTCCCCATGCAAGGGAACACCCATGTGGACTTTGTGGGGGACAGGATGACACAACAAACACACAATTCCTCTTCTCTGCATGTGATATAATTGGATCAGATACTGTATTAACTCAATTATCTCCAGGCAGAAAAAACACATATTTTACAAAACCCCCAAAGTACCCCAAAACACAACATATCCCCATCTTACATTCCCTGATAGCCTTGATCTGGGTGAGCAACATATCCAAAAATCACACAGATCAGGGGTTCAGAAATTTTATGGAAGTCATAGTTTTGCCCTGGCACAGGCAGGGTTTCCTGCCCAAAACAGTTCCATAGAATCACGGCTAAGTGCCGCTGGAGGACCTACGGGGAACTGCGAGGTTTTCATGCCAAAAATAGTTCCAGGGCATTCACGGCTAAGTCCCCCTGAAGTCTATTCGCGGTTTTGGTCCATGCCAACAAGATGGCCGCAACCACGTGTTTGAATGTCGAATGGCAGCCACTTCGACTGTTCGGGAGTTTGAAGTGCCACTTCGAAAGTTGGAACTGTGGCCATAAAAATCCAAAAAGAACTGAACAGTGATTTAAAGGACCACTATAGGCACCCAGACCACTTCAGCTCAATGAAGTGGTCTGGGTGCCAGGTCCATATAGGGTTTACCCTGCAGCTGTAAACATAGCAGTTTCAGAGAAACTTCTATGTTTACATTAGGATTAATCCAGCCTCTAGTGGCTGTCTTATTGACAGCCGCTAGAGGCGCTTCCGCGCTTCTCACTTTGATTTTCACAGTGAGAAGCCGCTGCCATCCATAGGAAAGCATTGAGAGATACTTTCTTATGGACTGATTGAATGCGCGCGCGGAAGAGGGAGGAGAGTCCCCAGCGCAGAGGAAGCCCAGCGCTGGAGTAAGGTAAGTGTTTAACCCCTTAACCCCTCTTGAGCCTGGCGGGAGGGGGATGCTGAGGGTGGGTGGGGATCCAAAGACCCTATGGTGCCAGGAAAACAATTTTTTTTTCCTGGCACTATAGTGGTCCTTTAAACCAAGTTTTATCACCGGTGCAATAGTCACAGGGTAGGAGGCTGGCAAACAGGCCCCTCCAAAAACCAGTGGCAAGGTTACTTTCACCACATTGTATACATGTATATACTCATTTCAGAATTATGTAAACCTTGTTCTTATTGTGCTTGTAAGACTTTATTATAGTACTAACATGATATTGGTTGCTTATATATATATATATATATAGAGGTAAATGGTTAACTCCCTGCTTCATTTCCTACAGAATATATATATATATATATTGATGGTGTGTTCAAGATATAGTTTTAAAATATTCTAAATTATTTATTGCCATTACATTCAATAACGTGACCTTTTTATTAATACCGGTGTTCTATCATTGTGCTATACCCCGTCAGATTTCTATACCCCCGTCACTTCCGGTGAGGGGAATCAGCTGGCTCCTGTGCTGCACATGCATTCACTAAGCTTAGGACATAGGACATTTAGGGTTAATGTTAGGGTTCAAATTAGGGTTAGGATTAGTGATATTAGTGATATTCCACATTAGGGGATTATCACTAAATAGTGATTTGTCACTCTTTATTTTAACCCTTACCCCAAGGGTTAGGGTAAGAATAGAATGTGAGAGAGGTTAGAAGCACTTACCTAACCCTAATTTGAACCCTCACTTAACCCTAAATGTCCCGTGTGCCTAAGCTTAGTGAATGCACTAACTATAATGAAAGTGTAAAACTAGTTTTACTTACCTTCCAGGACCTTGCTGTGGAGGAGTAGCAGGAGTGCTAGCACGCATGTGCAGCACAGGATCCAGCTGATTCCTCTCACCGGAAGTGACGGGGGTATAGAAATCTGACGGGGTATAGCACAATGGTAGAACACCGGACTGAAATGAAATGTTGGTCCAGGCACTCAACCTCAATCCAGTGGGCAGATTTATTGGAGCAGAATCAAAACAACATTTCAGCCCACAACACGGCCTTTCTCAAGTTCAGCAGGGTGCTGTAGTAGACAATAAAAAAAGAAAGAACAAATAGAAAACATTTTTAAAAAGGAGTGGGTGTGTTTTTTACATTTGAATTGGGGGTGGGGGGGTGGGGAGTACCAAAAAAAGGTCTAGGTACGCCCCTGCTCTGGCCACTTGCCTGCCTCTTGTGGGGGATGTAAAAAGGTTACTTCATAAAAGTGCCAATTTCTATTAAAATCTTTACTTTCTGTAAAATGTAAAAAATAAAGCACACACTTTACACATCCGGGTCTGCAGTGTCCATTTAAAACATTAGAGACCCTTTTTTAGACAGCCATACAGTGGGTTGGCATGTTGTTTTTTTGGTTCTTCTGTGTAAGTCTTCTGTAGCGACCTGGAAGACATCTCTCGATTTTTTGCTATCTCTTTGACTTGTTCAACTGCTCTTGCATCTGTGTTGCTCATAACTATATTTTGGCTTATCCTTTGTTGTCCAGTCTTACTACTGGAATGCTTTGTTGCTTTGTGGATCTCTTAAAGTCCAGTGAATACAAACACCTTGAAGTTTACCCTCTGGGCTTATACATTTGGCCAGAAATCTATTCTTCTTTATTTTGAGTGCACACACCCTACAAAAGCACCTTTACGACATACTAAGACATATGGAAATTATACAGGATCCCCACAAAAGTCCCCAAATAGCTTGAATCTTAGCACCCAAGTTCTGAAAATAGCACTCATATCCCTACTGTAGTACAGAATCGCCATTTGGGTAAAGTTTTGACTGGCCGGCCACGAGGTGATATCCGAAAGCAGTTCCACAGAAAATTAGTCTTTTTTCAGGGGCACCTGTGCAAACACTGATGAATGCTCCCCCTGGCTTTCAGGCAGCGAATGTTCTCCCTGTTCTGTTGTTCTTTTCTCCCGAACGCCATTCGCCTGAATGTTCCCGGTTCTGTTCCAGGTTCCCCGGCATTAGGGGTCACGTAGCATAGAGTTCCATATGCTCGACGACCAAGTACCGCTACCTGCATTTGGGAGACAAAATGGCGCCATTCTTTGGAGCACGTGTATTCGTATACACGAATGGAGGCCACCCAGGGAAAGCACTTGAGCTAATTGCTCATTTGTGGTTAACAGCTAGGGGTGATCGGTGTTCCTGGGGTTATAAAAGGGGGGACCATACATAGTCTGTTCGGGAACCGAACAGAGGGGGTACGGACAGCCGAACAACAAAATAAATATGTTCTGCAAATCCATTCACTACAATGAGACACGAGTAGATAAATATAGATATTACAGGCAAAAAAGATTGATTTGTTTGATCCTACACACTATCGGAAATATCACCACTTTAGGAAATGCAAATATATTCAATAAATCCAATATTTGTGGATGGAGGAATCCAACACTGACACCATACCAGGTTTTCAATGCTCTTATTTTGTAGTGCTTGATTTTACATCTAGTAATGACCATACTTTACATGAATATGTTTGTTTTGCAGGTGGATTCATTGACTACTACAACCACCCCATTGTATGCTTTAAGGATTGGGATAGAACATTTGGTAAAAATTCGAGCTAGGCAAACAATAAACAAACAATATGGAGATTTCAGTGATGTCTTACATATACCAGCTGTCACGGTGCCTGGTAGGTGATTTCAACTAAATAGGATTTATGCGTGTTTGTGGGTTGCCATTACATTATTAACAGATTTGTGTGCATAATATGAAACCATTTCTTCAAATCATAGTATAAACCTGTGAGAATGGTAGTGGATTCAGCGCTTCGTGTCTCAACGGAATAGTGTAGAATATAAAAACAGCCAGCAACCTAAAAGAACGTTCCCTCACAGTACGTCGAAGAAATAGAAAATATAAAAAGGATATTAGGTCGCGCCAAAAAATAAATAAATAAATATAACAGGATAAAAACGTAATGTAACAGTTAATAAAAACTAAAATTTCTTCACATAAAACACATGTAAATAATGAAATGAGTACTTACAAATAGCAATACATACAAAAAAGAAATGGATAAACAGCCGTAAGAATGAGCAGGGAATAGTGCCGTCCGCTTGGAGGAAGGAAACAGTCCTAATAAAGTTGAAGAAATGGGTGAAGTGTCTTGTTCCGGGTGGCAATATGCAAAATAAAATAGGGAGAGGAAAATCCAATAGTGTAGAATTTATCTTCTGCTTTTATATGGAGATTCGAAGTGAAAAAATATCGCACTCACCAATAGTAGAGCTAAAACTAGCTCGGGTGTGCTTCGCATTCAGTTGTACTGGTCCCCCACTGGTGGGATGTAGACGTATGTACGTAGCAGAGGTCCTCGGGAAAGAAGAGGATAACACAGGATAGTGCTCACTGTATCCAATAGCACAATGTTAACGCAATGGTGCAGAGGGGGAGGATGGGAAATGTAGGATCCTACATTTCCCATCCTCCCCCTCTGCACCATTGCGTTTTGAACATTGTGCTATTGGCTGCCTTGCGGTCACATGACCGCAAGCTTTACAATACACCTTCCGGTTTTCGAATACATTTTACATTTATTTGTGTATCTTATATTTATTATTCCATACGTTTTATATGTCCTTTAGCCCATTACGAACCTTTTGAAGTTTTAGCTATATTAAAATAACTGTTTTTTTATAATTGTATTATATTATCATTTTATGCATAAATTATGACGTCATTTTGGCGCCAATTTTGAAATTGTCCATGAACCTAAAGGTTATTTAAATCATTGTGAACCAGGTCTCTGTTTCTTAATGCCAGTTGAAAAAGCCCTGTGTGTCAAAACGCATTTTGGCTGTATTATATTTCTTATACTATCTTATATTTTATTAATAAAGGATTATTGGCCTATATTTTACCTTTTATCCTTAATAATATATCTTTTATTTAAAGTTTTTTTGAACTTTTTATTTATTTTGTTTTATTCATTATCTTTTGGACCTGGTTACTATTATTCTATACTACTACCTTACGTTCAAGAATCCCAGGTGGGGATGATACCACCTATGCCATCATAGTGAGCAGTATTTCCTGCTCACCCAAATGTGAGTAGTTTATATATATATATTTCACTTTTATATAACTACCACATTGATACAGTGAGCACTATCCTGTGTTATCCTCTTCTTTCCCGAGGACCTCTGATACGTACATACGTCTACATCCCACCAGTGGGGGACCAGTACCACTGAATGCGAAGCACACCCGAGCTAGTTTTAGCTCTACTATAGGTGAGTGTGATATTTTTTCACTTCGAATTGCCATATAAAAGCGGAAGATTAATTCTACACTATTGGATTTTCCTCTCCCTATTTTCTTTTGCATATTGCCACCCAGAACAAGACACTTCACCCATTTCTTCAACTTTATTAGGACTGTTTCCTTCCTCCAAGCGGACGGCACTATTCCCTGCTCATTCTTAGGACTGTTTATCCATTTCTTTTTTGTATGTATTGCTATTTGTTAGTACTCATTTCATTATTTACATGTGTTTTATGTGAAGAGATTTTAGTTTTTATTAACTGTTACATTACTTTTTTTATCCTGTTATATTTATTTATTTATTTATTGGCGCGACCTAATATCCTTTTTACATAGTATAAACCTGTATAAAAGATGCAGAATGAGAACTATATTTGCCTACTGTCACGCTGCTGATCTGGGGAAACCGCATACCCACGCCCGATTGGCACAGTTGCGAGTCTGCGCCCCGTCGGCATAACAGCATGTCCGTGCTCGATCGGCGCAGAAACGCTAAAAAAACAAAAAAACATACCTTTTGCCGGCTCTCCCTCCACTCTCCATGGACGGGAATCGTGCTGGCGTTCTTATGAATGCCGTCCGCTTTCAAGGGCCGCAGTTAAAAGGCACAGCCTCCATTTTTGATGCTGGTGACACGGACATGTGTGCGTCATCACGTCATCGATGTGCATGCACGTTTTCGCATCACCAGGTCACAGTAACCAATTAGAGCTCTTTCTGGGACATTTAAACTCCCTGGTCCATTTGTTTGATGCCCTGTCGTAGTTTCCATTAGTTTGTTTTATCCGAGAGCGTGTTTAATATTTTCTTGTATTTCTGGCATTTTGACCTTGGTTTGTCTTTGACTATTCTCCTTATTATTGTCCTTGACCTCTGGCTATTCCTAACGTTTAATCTGACTTTTGTATCTCTGACCTCGGCTTGTCTTGTACTATACTATTTGCTTTTAATCTAGCCATTCTAAGGTCCGGTACTACTGTTCTTTTTGTATTTGCTATCCTTGTCTTTGCTTGTCGGATCCTATCTGTCCGTGACGTTACGACAGGGCCAATATGGATCTTGCATATATAAGGCCTTCTACTATAAAGGCCCTTCTATTAACTTTATGCCTCCTGCTAGGTTTAGTGGTGACCCTCTTGAATGTCGAGGATTCTTGAATCAGATAGAGTACCACTTTGAAGCTTCACCTAGGTCTATTCCTTCTGACTGAGCCAAGATTTGTTATTTCATGAACCAATTGACTGGTAAGGCTTTAGCTTGGGCTAACCCTTTGTGGGAAAGTGAGAGATCCATAGCTTATAACTACAAGGACTTTGTTACAGAGTTTAAGCTATCTTTCGAACCTTTAGGGAAAGAACTATTGTTTTTTCTTTTCTGCTTATATTTTACATGAAATGCAAATAACAGAACTCCCTACCTCAATTAAAACCTTATTTATTTGAACGTCAAGGAGGACTTTTGACTGAACTACACTAAAGCATCACCTCCTCAAAGGCTTATAGAAAAAAGACCATTGTTTTATTCCTCTGGGACTTTTTACATCTGAGTTATTTCTATCACTATTTGGTTTTACTGTATATATATATAATACATCCATACCTATTTCAATTTATACGTAGCACAAATACAGACGCAGCAGTGTTGGTCCTAACTACATAATGGGTGACAAGGTCTGGCTCTCTACCAGGGCCGGACTGGGAGAAAAATTCGGCCAGGGCATTTTTTTAACACAGCGGCCCACTAAAACAGGGGCGGGGCAGAGGAGGTGTGTTTTGTCATCACCAATGACAAACACGCCCTTCTCTCAAAGTGAGCATGTTGGTTCAATGCTCTTCCAGGGCAGACCATGCGCAGAGCTCTGCTGAAGAGCTCTAGCATGAGAAAAAAGTCCTGTATTTGTTCTGCACAGTGCAAGCAAAATTAATAACATGCTTGCACTGTGTTTCCTTGCAACTTGTCTCTGGTGTCTTTATAAATGGATACCAGGAGACAAAAGGCCAGGAAAGAGTATTGTGCATGTGTTTGGAGCCTGCTTGTGGTATTGCGTGTGTGTAGAGTGAGCTGGTCGTGGTGTGGTATTGTGTAATAAGGTCGGTTTTAGTCGTGTTGTGTTTGTGGTGTAATGTGATGCATATGTGGCTCAGGGACCCCCTCCGCCCGGCTCTGGAAAGGGGTTAAAACTTACCTTTTCCAGCGCCGGGCGGGGAGCTCTCCGATCCTCCGAATGCGCACGCGCGGCAAGAGCTGCGCACGCATTCAGCCGGTCGCATAGAAAAAGCATTTATAATGCTTTCCTATGGACGCTTGCGTGCTCTCACTGTGATTTTCACAGTGAAAAGCACGCAAGCGCCTCTAGCGGCTGTCAATGAGACAGCTGCTAGAGGCTTTGGGGGAAGGCTTAACCCATTGATAAACATAGCAGTTTCTCTAAAACTGCTATGTTTATAAAACAATGGGTTAACCCTAGAAGGACCTGGCACCAAGACCACTTCATTAAGCTGAAGTGGTCTGGGTGGCTAGAGTGGTCCTTTAAGAGTGTAGTGTGTGTGTGTGTGTGTGTATGTATATATATATATATATATATATATTTGGAAGTATTGTGTATGTGTGTGGTGCAGTGTGTTGGGGGGGTTCTGTGTGTATGTGAGGGGTGCAGTATGTGTGTGTGTGAGGGTGCGGTGTGTGTGTGAGGGGTGCGGTGTGAGAGTGCTGTGTGTGAGGGGTGCGGTGTGAGAGTGCCGTGTGTGAGTGATGGGTGTGAGATGGGTGTGAGAGAGTGCTGTGTGAGAGTGCTCTGTGAGAGAGTGCTGTGAGTGTGATGGGTGTGAGAATGCTGTGTGTGTGTGAAAGTGCTGTGTGTGATGGTGTGAGAGTGCTGTGTGAGAGAGTGCTCTGTGAGAGTGCTGTGTGTGTGTGAGAGTGCTCTGTGAGAGTGCTGTGAGTGTGATGGGTGTGAGAGAGTGCTGTGTGTGAGTGGTGTGTGTGAGTGCTGTGTGTGATGGGTGTGAGAGTGCTGTGTGAGAGAGTGTGTGAGAGTGCTGTGTGTGATGGGTGTGAGAGTGCTGTGTGTGATGGGTGTGAGAGTGCTGTGTGTGATGGGTGTGAGAGTGCTGTGTGTGATGGGTGTGAGAGTGCTGGGTGTGAGAGTGCTGTATAAATGTTATTGTGTGTGTGTGTGTGTGTGTAGGGGGGGGTAAATAAAAAACAAAACAAAAAAGTCATTATCCCCCCCCCCCTTCTTACCTTTAGCCTGGAAGGGAGGGGGGGACCGGCACGCTGGGACTGGGAGGGGGGGTCCGGCACGCGGTGTTCCCTGGTGGTCCTCGTGGGTGAGTGAACTCTAGCCTGTGAGGCTAGAGTTCACTCTCGCGAGATCCGGTTGTTGCCATGGCAACGTGCCGGATCTCGCGAGAGGAACCCGGCGGAGCTGCAAGTTAGAGCTCCGCCGGGTCCTCTCTCCAGCCTGGCTGGCTCCATCCCCTCTCTCCCCGCCGGCGGCCGCATGTGGGCCGGTCAGGGAGATCCTTGATCTCCCCACCGGCCCGTCGTGGCAAACAGCGGGGCCGGCGCTAGGAGAGTGCCGGCCCTGCATAGACCGGCAGAGGAGATCCTGGGACCTTCCCTGCCGGCCTCGGCCCATGGCCACCGCGGCCCACCGGGCATTTGCCCGGTGTGCCCGATGGCCAGTCCGGGCCTGCTCTCTACATGAAATCTGTGACTAAAGGTTCCATCAGTGAAATTGGTACCATGGTTTGTGGGTCCCTTCCGCATTTTACAAAAGGTTAATCCTGTTTCCTATGCCCTGGAACTGCCTCGTACATTGCGCATACCCAATGTTTTCATGTTTCCTTGCTGAACCGTTGATATGTAATCGTTAACCCAAAGGCAAATGTTCCTCCCTCTCCTCTAACTTTGGAGGGTCAAGAGGAATATGAGGTTCCTTCGGTTCTCCCGGGGTTCAATGCACTATTTGGTTCACTGGCAGGGGTATGGTACAGAGGAGAGGTCCTGGGTTCCCGCCTCCGATGTGCATGTTGCTCATCTGATCCAGTCTTTTCATGCCAGGTTTCCTGCTACACCGGGTTCTGTCTGCCCGGTGGGAGATCTTCGAGGCGGGTTCTGTCACCCTGTCGATCCAAGGAGACCGCGTGCCTGCGCCCAGTTGGCGCATTTGCGAGCCCGCGCCCGGTCAGCATGACA